TCAAAATGGCTGACAGGAGGCCATTTTGTTTTAATGAATGTGGTTCTAGTGCCATATCTCTGACTTGCTTTGACGGATTATATTCAAATTGCAAATATTCATTATTCATCATCTCATAGATATACCATATATATTGGTTTGACGATCTGATTCAAAATGGCCGAATGATGGCCATTTTTGTGCTAAAAAAAAGTCAAAAGTCATATCTGGCATTCCGGAACTAGTTCTCGGCCATGTATGAATGGATTTCGTTCTAACTTGGTATATACATCAGACATTATGGGTTCCTGATGAACATTATTTTGTTTTTTGGTCGAATTCAAAATGACTGACTAGCAGCCATTTTGTTTGAATGAATGCAGTTCTAGTGCTATATATCTGATATGCTTTGACTGATGTTAACATTTTATATTTATTCATTATACATCATGTCATAGATATACAGATGTACATGGTTTGATGATCTTATCCAAAATGGCCAACCGGTGGCTTTTCAGCTTTTTATTCTTTTCAGCGAAAATTAATTCCAGCTAAAATAAAGTATTTTACAGTATATTACTATAAACAAAGCTATATAACAGAGATTTGATAATTTATGGGAACTGTGGCTTGTTTATAGTACCGTATTACCCCGGGCACGCGCCCCTCCCTGGGCAAGCGCTCACCCCCCTGTTTTCACAAAAGTTACATGTTGGGGACATCCTCGGTTAAACGCCCAGGGTGATTTTTAGCCAAGAATTGGGTCAACAATAAAGTTGTATTTGTCAAAAACGAACGCGTCTGATTTATTTAAATAGTGTGTTTGTTACGGTAGTTCTCTTTTTGGAGTGTGTGGTGGCCCTGAAAAGGGCCGTTTTGTTTGTGTTTTTACCAGGGGGGGGGGTTACGTAAAAACTCATTGGAAGAGCATCGACAGGCGATGGACGCGGGGCTTTTTGGCAACGACCAAAAACGTATTTGTGTCCACGTAGAGGTCAAAATACGCGTTCTATATTTACGCGTTAAGTTTGGCTCTTCCGTTTCACCCCCCTCCGGAATGTTCTACTTTTGCAGCCTAATCGCAGGTTTTTCGAAAAACGTCGAAAAAACACAAGAATTAGTGGAAATGTTTCTATTTGGGGCGGATTATTGATAGAGGATGTCTTTATTACAAAAATGCTGAGAAACCGTGAGTTTTTGCCTTAGTTATTTTTTTATCGGCGAAAAACTGCGAACTCGGCAAATTTGGTTGCACAACTTCCCTCTATCATATACACCCAGCGACACCGATGCCAGCTGACTGTGAACGGGAACTAGCACTTTTGAGACATTGCTACTTTCTTTCCATCCGTCATCACAGCTATGGCATTACGGTCATGTGGATTATTTTTCTGTCGTTGAAGAAAAACACATTTTGTATATAAAAAGAATCTGTATTACACACAGGCTTGTCTTGTGTACTCTCAGAACATACACTCAGATCAATATGCACACATTAATGTTTCATTAATGTGACTTCTGTGTGCCCACAAAACTAAACCGCAGATACACTTTAGAGGCACCCGAACATACCTCCATTTTTATTGGCCATCTAGTCTGCAGACTCTCTAGCATACTGTTTAAGTTAGTAAAAACAAAAAAAAATCATCTTGCATTTATATACCTTAACAATAGATGAAACAATTGATAAAATAAAGCCAAAATGGTCAATCATGTGAATAACTCACTTTAACAGTGATCCTCAAATATTTAGCGGTAAATAAAGTACATGTATACTGACCTGTCAATCATTGCAATTCTCAATTGCTTAACACTAGATAAAACACACCAACATGTCCGTTGTATAAGAAGGCTTTAATAGTATATAATACTCGTCAGTTACGACATGGTCAGCGTGTTCTGTGTTATCTGTCCAGTCACTATGGAGTTTGTTCACAGCCAGCAATGTAAAGGCAAATCAATTTACGAAGGTTATATCTATGTCAAGCAGAAGACTCAATCTTGCTAACCAGGTCATTTCTGAGAATGCAAGAACCAGTGACAATACAATTGCAAAGTGAAGGTTAAGGTCCATGGAGACCAAGTCATTGGTGCTGTGAATAAGCACATCCATTTGAACAATGTTAACCGCCAAGAGATTTTGCAAGTGCAATAAGAATTGAAGGAAAAAGCGAGTAAAATAAAAGAGACAAATCATTACACAAACTGTACATTCTATATCTGAAGGCGCCATCGCACACCCTCCCCCTATTTGACATATTTGTTGATATATTAGACGATACAAACTACCTATTGGTTCTCTGCATCCTGTCTCGGCAAAGCTTGCAGAAATGATCATTCCGGAGGAGTATAAGGTAAATTATGTTGTCTATTTAAAATTACGTGTATTACCAAATTATTACGAGTATGCATATCCTATCTATTATGATCACGTTCATTTAATTTTTATTTATGCATGTTTTCTTAATTGTTTCGAAGGACATGCAGAAATGGGAGAATATTAGAGCAACAACAAATGAACGATAACATATGTTTAATAATCAATTTATTTATTTCAGTATACAAATGATGAAGAAGTTTGCTTCACTATGATAATCAACCCAGTGGTCAGTGCATGCTCATCTTTTCAACAGCCCAAAATATGAGAATTCCAACAAATGGTTTGCTGATGGTACTTCCAAGGTGTTTCTAGAATTGTTCTTTCAGCCGTACATCATTCATTCGCTCACTGAGTCATCCCATGCGTGTATGCCCTATTCCCCAACAAGCCACAAGCTACCTTCAGAGATGTACATTGTATTCCAGCAACTGATTAATATCAACTCTAATCTCACCCCACAGTCAGTTCTCATTGACTATGAGCAAGTCACGAATAATGCCATGGAAGATGCATTCATGAACATTTTGGTTAAGGGACGTTTTTATCACTTTCCCATTGCATATATTGCAAAGTGATAGAGGGTCTTCAAGACATGTATCTTGTACGTTCGTGAAAAAAAAATCATCAACACCTTTGACACGCTAGCACAGAATATGCCAGACAAAGCAAATAAATAGTAGACAAAATAGTAGACTACTTCGAAAATTCATTTATTGGCAGACCACGTCGTAATGGAAGAAGACCAGCACACTTTACGGTTCACATGTGGAATATTAACAGTAGAGGTAACAACCAACTACCAAGCACCAACAACAACGCTGAAAGGATGGCATCGTAGAATGCCCGCAAACATCAAAGCATACCACCCAAATATATGGTACTGAGTACTGAGAGCAGACTCCCTCAACAATGGAATCAGCACCAGCACAGCAACAACAATACCAAGATTCTGCTGCAAGAATATCTACTATTGAACAAAAAAATAACCATGTACCAGATTCCCTAAAGGAAATAACTCATATTTAAAATTTTTAAGTGCTTAAAAGGCTAACTAAAAAGTTGTAATATCAAATAAAAAAGTGACACACTAAAATTTGTTTTATTTATTACGAGTTGTTGAATAGTATTGGCTGGTCTATTATTTGTGAACTGAGGAGCTATCAGTGCCATTTGTGTATTGTTTGACAGGGTCAACGTCTTGAGTTTAACTAATATATCAGTAAACAACAAGAATGCATATGTATCAATGTTGTCCCAGGTGATGGACAGCGCTTCCAATGTCAGTGTCGTCTGTCACATGGCAATTTTTATTGAAGTTCAGTGATGTGGCAAATAGATGAATGATTCCGGGTCAAATATTGAAGTCTTTTGTGGCAATTCGATAAGAGATCTATCTGCCACTCCATGCCACAAAATTTGGTTCAAGTTTGACTATGGCGTTCTCCAAGAAGTGTTTTTGGTGTTTGTAGTGCATCTATGCTCGCTGTCATATTTTGTGCAGTATAGGGCCAAGGCTGTAGCTAAGTGTGTAATGGACTGTAGCCATAGCTCATTGCTGGTCATTGTTCATTTATATTTATACAGGAAGAAGTTAAAACACGTCTGAATAAAATTAATACATTTCTGTTAGACGTACTTAGCCAGAAAATAGCCGTGAAAATCACAGCTCTCTATGCTATCAACAATAAGGTACCAGAAGTGGTTTATTCCATAGATGGTAGTGATGAGAAGAGTGGTGGAATTTCATTGCTTCAAAATAAACTCATGAAGATTTTAAAGTCAGATTGGTTCAAGCATGAAGTTAACTGCAAGTCGTTGGAGTTTGAACTGGAACTGAAAAAAACAGTTGCTGATACAAAGAGGCCTATTAAGACAATTAAAGAGGCTCGTGACATAGCACATGAGATTAACATGAATACAAATGACTGTGACGGGGCACTGAAGTTTTACCACAGTATTGGGGAGATGATTCGTCTGGAAGAGGAAGTTGGTATTAAACCAGAGTGGTTTGCAGAGTTGTTCGGAATCGTTATTACCAGCGCATTGAATAAAGATCTTCCCACAGACCAAAGATCATTACTTAAACCCTTACAAGAACATGGTAAATTGAGTGAAGAGCTTTTGGATACAGTGTTGGAAACAAAGCAGCGTAAAGAAGATAAGCAGATCTTGATTGAATTATTCTAGAAGTTTGATATTATTTGTGAAGTAGAACAACCAGGCAAGCGAGAATTTATAATGCCATGTATGCTGACAGCAACACATCTATTCAAGATAAACCCAACACAACAACAAGTCCTCCTCTGCATTATCACTTTCCAGACAATTTTCTCCCCAGTGCAGTTTTCCATCAGTTAGTGGTGAGGTGTATATCTGTATTGCAAAGTCAGTCAAAACAGCCAAATCCAGAATTATCCAAACATGCAGCACAGTATTATTTGAATGCCTCAACTATCATTACTCTAAAGAAGAAAGAATCTGACATAGTCCTGACAGTGACATTTGAACATCTTGATGATGATGATGATGACGATGATGGAAGTCCCGTTTGTGGTCCAAAAATCAGAAAATCTATAGATGATAACCTAAACAAAATCATCAAGGAATACAGGCCTGGTTTATCATATCAGCACAGTTTAAAGTGTCCCTGTGGTAAACATTATTCATCAAATATTAAAGAAGATGATGGATGTGTTCTTATTGGTTCATCAAAAGACGTGGAGTGTGGTTGTGATGTAAAACGCCTATGCAAAAAAAAGAAACCATGGAAATATCCTGACTTATCATTCTGGTTTGACTCAACTGACCCAAGTAAGTATGTTTCTTTTATTAACAATGAAATGAAAAAGTTAGGGTATCCATAACTCTTGATAAAATGTAAGTTACATTCCCACTTTGTGAAACCATACTCAGCAATTTATACAAATATTATGAATGAAGAATGAGAAATTAGCTGCAGAATAAGTCAAGTGAGCCTCCTAAATTAGGCTATACATGTAAACAGTAGACACTCTCTGAGTTAAGAGGCTTTGTTTGTTCTCATATTTTAAAACTAAAACAGAAACAATTTATCACATTTTATGTTTTTTACTTGTTTTGAGAGTGATATTTCATGTATTTTGAGTGGGAATCTAACATTACCAATTACTGTAATGTGTAGTTTACGAATAGTACACTTACTACTAATTGTTGACATTTTAATTGAAACATACATGTATCTTATAACATTGAACACTGGTTTGTTCTGCCAATCAACAAATGTTGGGCATAAAATGTTCTAATCCTGGTATTCATGGTTATACTACAGATATATGCAAGCGCTGATATAATTAGTGGATGGCAAAGTCATCCTAGCTGATGTCATGTTGTCAATAGATGTTGGATGTGAACAATGAATAGTTAACTCATTGAATTGCGTGATATCTTTTCCATCAAAAATGTCATGGGTGAGGTCAAATAATTACCCAGGTTCTTCACCAGTTTAGAATTACACAATTCATGTAACACAGGGATAATATAGACTGATGGCTACTTATATAGTTCAATACAATTATGCATATATCAATCTTACACATACACCAACTCACATGAACTATTTTATTAGGTACAACAAAATCCATGCTTGGTATGGTTCTCATTCCAGCAGTTTTGCCTGCCCATGCAATAGTTAACAGCAAACAAACAACAAAGTGTTTTGTAAAATATAATAACTACACGTTTAATATATTGCAGATCACTTACACAATACACCTGCTGTCTGTGCCATCAAGTCAGTGTCTTCAACTCAATTGACTATCCAATGGAAGAAACATACATCAGAAGTTAAACTTCAGCGTCAGATGGCAGATAAGACTGAATGGGTTGAGGTTCCACATAATGGAGGCAATAGTGCTGAGGATGAAGGGCTCAATCCAGATACTAGATATTACTATAGAATAAAAGCTGATGGGAAAACAAGTTATGCTGTTTTAGGTGTGACAAAAGGTATGCATTACAGATCACAGTCAAGTATATTACTAAGCACAGCTCAGCTATTATACACTTCTATATCTCTATATCATTGCCCAGTATAGAATTGCTATATCATAAGATTTAGTACACTGGCAGTTGGTAGTGTCAATATGGTTTGATCAGTGATGGGTAGGTACAGTCATGAGTATATAGAGTAGATATATTACAAGTGTTGATGGATTGTACCAACAGCTGGTATCATATATTTGGTATGGTATGATCAGTGATAGGTAGGTACAGTCATGAGTATATAGAGTGCATATATTACAAGTGTTGATGGATTGTACCAACAGCTGGTATCGTATAGTTGGTATGGTATGATCAGTGATAGGTAGGTACAGTCATGAGTATATAGAGTAGATATATTACAAGTGTGGATAGATTGTACCAACAGGTGGTATCATATAGTTGGTATGGTGTGATCAGTGATAGGTAGGTACAGTCATGAGTATATAGAGTGCATATATCACAAGT